TTCCAAATGCACCATGAGCCTAGGGCTGGCCGGTGCCTGTGGAGAAGGGTTCCTGCAGTGTCAGGAGATCCTGCAGCATCCTCTACAGTAACCCAGTCACCTGGGAAGGGATGCAAAGAACACTCAGGCTTTCAGTCCTCACCAGTGACTCGCTCCCCTCACTGCTTTGCCCTGAGCAGAGCTCGCACAGCCATGCCAGGATGAGCACGATGCTGCTGGCCCTGTGGAGGGGGTCTGCGCAGCAGTGGGGGAGAGGCCTTTGCAGCAGAGGGCTAGAAAGGACTTTGTGGTGACCAAGATTCACACAACTTGCAAAAGGAGCTTGGGGGGGGAATGGGGCAAAGGAAACAGGGGAGTGCGGACGGCCACCCCATTCTCTGATGCGGCTCTTGGCAGGGCCCAGCCCCACCTGCAAAACAGGGAGGAAGAGGAGGATGGGGTGAGCCACAGGAAGCCTGGAGGCCGGATCATCGTACGTCAGCTGAATCACCAGGATTCCCTCCAAATTAGCTCCGAATTAGTGAGGCGGCTGCGTCAGTGCCGTGTGCTGCAACCCTGGGGGCTCTGGCACTTGCCGTGGGTTGCGGGTGGACCAAGTGCCTGGTTATCCAGCTCGTTATTCCTAAACCAAGACTGATATTGTGCTGCGTTAGTGGTCAGAGACATGTGGGTTTTGAAGTATTTTTAATTAGCTAATGCTGACTGACTTGCCTTCTAATGTCTGGAGTCTTTGTCATGAAAATGCAAAACCACAGGTTCCTCTGAAAAGGGGAATACGTACAGGGTGAGCCACTGCTCCAGACTAGGCCTAGCTTGCTCTATTTCTTTTAATCGGATGGAAAAAGGACGTATTTAATAGCTTTTTGTTGACACTTTAATGTGTCTCTGCGTTTGCCTGTTTGAGTAAACAAATTGATGCTGTTAATCAGTCAGTTGTAGAGATATTAAAACAGGGCGGGTCTGGGAGGGATGGAGCAGCTCGGTTTTCAAACTAACATGGAGCTGCTAAGAAAGCAAATTCTTCCATTTGGATCAGCAGCAAATTCCAGCTCTGTTTCTGTTGGAAGTGTTCAAGTGGCTGTCGGGAAATATTTGGTTGCCATGTGCTTTCAAAATTGAATTAATCTTCCAGCTTTCAAGGAGATGTGCAAATGCCTGAATGCTCCTTTCCCCACCTGGGGAAGAGTCTTGGGGACTTATTCTCCGGGCTTGAGTGTTTTGAAGTTGCTGTCTGAGCAGTTAATCCATCCAAATGTCCTGGTTAGCTTCTGGCACTTGTGCTGGACGTGCTGAGCACTGCAGCAGAGGCATCCCTGCAGTGACAGTCCCCGCTGCAATGGCGTGTCTCCAGGTGGCTTACAGCTGTTAAAACACACGGGCTGGGGCAGCTTTATTTGACCTGCCTGTATCGCAGTTCTGTCTGGAGAGCAAATAAACTAACCCTGATTCAGTGACTGCAGTATGTTTAGAAGCTATAAAACTTGTTTGCACAGCAACTTTATATAGCCCCTCTCTGGGAAGGGAGTTGATATTCGAAAACCTGAGATGCACTTAAAGCAGCTCTGATCTGCAGCACAAAGTGAAGTCTTCAGAGGACAGAAATGGGCTGCACTGTCTGATAGCCACTGTCTTCTGTGAAGCTGCTTTTGTGCATCTGTGTGTTATGGAGCTGCCTTTGCTTTTCTTCTGTGGGGTGAGGGACGAAGGCAGGAGCAAACGGGATCTGGAGCAGGAATTGCTTCCTTATACACCATTTATGTGCGCATTGACCGATTGGACCATCTGTCACCAGGGTGTAAAATGGGTGTGGGATCACTAGCTCACTTCTGTCTCCTCTTTTCCCCTCGTTCTCCCTTCCTCTCTCTAAAATGCGTCTTTAAACGTGAGTTTGTCCCTGGCTGTCATTGCATGCCCTGGCAGAGACTTTGCTCACGGTAGAAGCGAATGTGCCGTGGTGAGGCGTGAGCAGCGTGGTGCTGGGTCCCCACAGGGCTTCGAGTCAGGCAGCTGATGTGTGATCCTTCTGCCAGTGTGATAAAAGGGCTTTTTATGTCCGTGAAGACAAAGCCTCTTGTTGAAAAATGCAACTGAATGAAAAACACAATTCTGAATGCCCTAGACTCAGCTACTAAAAACAAACAAACAAACCTACCCACCCAACAAAAAACTGAAAAGTTCCCCTGCCCCCCAGCCCAGTCTGCCAGTGTTGGTGTGATACCGCTCCATTGCAAAAAAACTCTGTAAAATTGCTTTGGGAGCTTAGCAGTCCCTGTCAACTTGTAACTTTGTGGCCCACTAACCTTTTCATATACTGTTTTATTATATCATAACATACTTTCCCCTTCTCAGACAGCTCTAACAAGGTCAGGTGTCTCCTGTTTCTCTGTTGGTTCAAATTCTCCCTCTCTTCTCAATCAGAGAAACAGAGAAGGAAGAAGTGATATGAAAACTGAGAGGTAAACCTGTTTTATGGACGTACTGACTGAGCTGAACAGCATAGGGCCTGGAAGGTAAATTTTTTTTAAGTGAAGACCCGCACAAACAACTGCAGGGCATATCCAGAGCATGATACTTCCCTGATAAAGTCAAACAAAGCGGCTTTTTTAAAAGCTCTCGGCTTATGGTGGTGTTTGCTGCTTGTTTTGGTGTTAAAGGTGTTAGAGATAGTCAGCAGCAATTAAATTCCAGTGAAGTGGTTAGATAATGATGCTTTTGGAAATCCCTTTTTAAGGGAAATCCTCATGATTTGAAAATGAATTGGTGCAAATGAGGATTAGGAAGAAGGCGGTTGGAAAAAAGGTTGGCTAAATTTTTGGTCTCATAGCTTGGCCTCTCCTCCCTGGCAGCTCATGGCGCCTGCCTGCCTGCGTAGCCAAACCTGTCTCCATTCCCGATAGTGTTTCCCGAGTGTTTCTGCCAGTTGTGAAATCCACCTCCCGTAGCATGCACCAAGCTTGCGCAGAGCTGATTTTCTTGCTGAGCAACTCCTTTACCCCTGGAAATAACAGCCAGGTTTTGACAGCACTGAGGCTCAGGCTGCTGGGGCACCCGTGGGAGCGCTGCAGAGAAGGGGCTCCTTCAGGAACAGGGGGAGGTCCCAGACTGGGCATCCAGCAAGATGGGCAGCACTGCACACAGCCTTCCTGCATCTTGCAAGGACCTGCATGGTAGCATCTCCTTGGTCAACTAGCCTAACTTGTAATCTGTGAAACAGTACAAAAAATTTACTGTGGTGTTTCCCCCCCGCCCCCCCCCCATCAGTCTGATGCAGCTTTGCTGCAGTTTCTCCTGCTGCCCCATTCTTGCAGGACGAGCCCAACGATGAAGTTGGCTGTCTTGCGTTTAGTGGCTTTTACTGACTGTTAAACATCTTGTCGTGTCCGCTGGCAGCTCTGCAGATGCTGGGAGGTGGGGTCCGATGTGTTTTCCTTCATGTCTCTGCAGTGATGCAACTTTCTCTGCTGCTAGCACCTGTCTGAGCTGCTTTCCCAGGCTGCCACACCTGCCCATCGCTCTCATCTCTTAACTACTTCGTTCTTTCCAGACCGAGTGAAGTGTTACAGAAAATGAATATTGATGGCTACAGGCAAACTTGTGTTCTTGAGCTAACAGGTGCTTGTAAAGGCAGCTGGGAGCCTCAGACAAAAGAGGCTTGCTAATCAGAGCACAGGCATTTGTGAAACTGAGCCTCTTGTCGCTTGAGCAGCGAGCCAGCCTGTTCAGGATCCTGTCTTCTGACAGTCTGTAAACCTGAATTCACCCCTCATCCTTTTGCTTACAGAGAAGGAGGCAGCTGTGTCTGTTCCCATAGGCAGAGGAGGAACCTTTTAGTTCTCAGCTTGCAGTGACTGTAGCTAACGAAGTGGGAGCTGGAAAATCTTAGGATGCAAACCTCATTTGAAGTTGCACTGAGCCTGCCCAGATGCCCATTTTTAAAGACCCTGAGGTAGAGCTAGCATGCGTGCTAGAATGTGCTTATCAGTGCCTACCTTTTTGGTCATGCACAGGGATGGCCCTGTTCACGTTGTTCCATCAATCGCTGATCTCTCGTGGTCATATTGGCCAAAGTACCAATAGGGCATCTGATGCTGCCGTCACAAATGTCGTGGGAAGGGGACATGGGCAGGTCACTGGCCTTTTCCCATCCTTATGGTGATACCTCCTGTCCAGGCTGGCCAGGTGGCACCTAATCAGTGCTTGGAAGGGAGGATTATAGCAGATGGGTGTAGGAACTGTATGCTTCGTCCTCTCTGGTTCTTAAACACCAAGCAGATCTGATCGAAGCGGAGTTTCTGCGTACTCAGGGTTTGAGCATGGCTGATGCCTGCTGTTCTGCACTTGCTTGCGGTGTTCCTGC